CATTGCGGCCACGAGAGCGGCGGGATTAAATCTTGATGCATTGCCGTTATCCACGCGTGAATTTTTGCGCTCGTGCATTAAAGCCATGGCGAAAAAGTTATCAATTTATTGCGCGCGCCGCGTCGATACGCGATAGCGCTCGCGCGCGAGCGAGCGAGCGAGCGCGCTCGACCCTCCCGGCGAATTATTAATTGTCGGCCCGATCGCAATTGTTGTTCCAAACGAGTTCCCGCGTCCTCGGAGTTGTTCGCGTTGTATAACCACACTTATCGCGATCGGAGCCGCCGTCCGCGTCGGTGTCGTTAGGCGCATTTTTCAAAGCGTTACGTGTTGCGTCCCGGACATTCGCGCCTCACAATAACGCGGCGATTAAAACTCGCATTTTTGTGACGCAGCTCAATTTGTCTTTCCTTCGTCCACCGAGGATGTCGATTACCGAAAATAATGAAGAAACAGCCGGAATCGAAGCTGGAAACGAAACCGGCTTCGATGAAAGAATTTCGTTGATAAAAGAAAAGTTACAACTCTTCAAACACACAGATTGCCGTGAAAATTGCCCCGGCTTGAGATTCTCACCGCGTGTTGCGTAATTTCCCGTCGTCCCGCAGCGTGTCTCTGAAAAGCTATCCAAAAGAAAAAGTATTCTATTTGTAAAGTGATTTTTCCCATAATCTCATATTCTAAGCGAAGCCTTTTACAGGAAAAGGATTCCTCTTTCGATAAAGCGATTAAAGTGAACTATTCGTCTAAAATTCATTAGATATTATTCTGTTTTTTGCTCTTATTTCAAGAGGACCTCTTACATCAAGTACAATTTTTCTCTTGTACCAAGAAGAACGCTTATCGGTGCTTTTCTTTTTTCATCTGTTCACACAGAGATCGTCGCCGCATTTGTTTTATGGACAACGTCTAGAGCAAAGGAGAAAAGAAGAGAGATCGTTATTCAGTTTATATTGTTTTCCCGGTTGTTTCGTCATGAACGAAGTTCAGGCATTTTTGGAGAAAATTAACTTAAAAACATACTGGCTTGTATTTCTGCCGTAAATATATACATATATCCATTTATCATATCGCGTTGCACATCACATTAAATGCCATTTGGAGTGCTTAAAATTTATGTTTTTTCCTACTTTTCCAGCAGAAAGCTAAAGAAAAATTTAATTAGAATTTTTTCCGGACAGTTTCATAATATTAATTTTCTCTCCTTTCCTTATAAAGGTACGCGAACCAGTGAAAATAAGGTACAGTAAGAATAAATAATAATCCTCTTAAAGAAAGATTAAATAATTTGTGCATAAGAAGAGGAGATTTATATTAAAATAAGATTTGCATTATACATACAATTCCTCCAACTTTAAGAATCATGTGTTTACGATATTATCCACTTAATTTTAGAGGAATCCCCTTGAGGCCATATATAAAGGTAAAATCCTCTAAAATTTAAAAGATGATTCCGCTTATTCTGAAATTACTTTTTTTCGGGTGCTAGCGATTAGAAATTTCAACGGGTAATTCGGGCCAGCCGCGGCGACATTTGCATTCCTCGTGGTGTTTCGACATCCTCGCGGTCGGCTTGTTAGCCAGATAATAGTTTGCCGCGGAATCGGGCGCGCGTATTTATCCGAGCGACTCTCTCATCCCACAGCGGTGAGCAACTAATACGGTGAGCAAGCGATGAACAAACTAACGTGTCTCTCTATTGTGTTTGCGTGGCGATTACGTGATGTCATGACGCCGTGCGCGTTATTTTAAGCTTATCCATTCATGCTCGGCAGCCGAGCAATTTTACGAAAGATCGCCGCGCGTTCGGCGAGAGTTGAACGAGTGACGCGGGGAACATTCGCGACGGAGTTGACGAGAGTTCGACTGTGTTGAACGGACATTACTGCGTAACTAGCGTGGCACACACGTGACATCTGTAATGAAATCCTTTGGACGGAGGAGGATAAGAGCGGAATGACGAGCGGAACCGATGTGATTCCGCGCGCCGACGCGACGCGACGCGACGCGACGCCGATTGTACGCGCGGCCGCGCATCACGCACATTATTGCGCCAGATTATTTATTCGCGAGTGTTTATCGAGCGCGTGATATGGATCCTGCAGGAAGCAGTTCCGTGCGCGTTCGTACGCGCGTTTTACGCAATCGTACGTCACGCGATAGAGCGAGCCGCGCGAGCGAGCGCTGCGAGAGTGCGTGTCGCGCGGGGGGATCTCTCGGGATGCGTGCGGCGAGCCATTGTTGCGCTCTCGCGGCAGCTTATTAATATCAATGCGAACATCGGGTGCGGGCTTTGTTTGCAACGGCGCACAACACCGTGCTCTTTTCGCGGTATACTACGACGGCGCATAAGTCAGACCGATTGCTTCGACGCTCGGGACTAATAAGCGCGTCATTTTTTCTCGTTACCCGCGATTGAACTAGCGACGGCAATTTCGAAATAAAAGCGCGATCGGCGGAGATAAATTCTTCGCGCGGTAATCCCACGTAACGATACGTTCACGTCGCTCGCTCGAGAGTTACGTTACGGCGGCGCGGCGGCGCGGTCTTCTCCACATTCGCTCGACCGAGAGCCAAGCATGATCTTAATACGCGCGAGTCGAAAAAATCGCGCCCGTCGCGCCGCGCCGCGCCACGGAAACGCCACGCGGCGCGGCGCGGCGCGTCCAGACACCCCGCGCCGTACAGACAACAACCGTACAATTTTCCCCCGGACGAACGAGTACGCTGTTCCAGAGTAACAGCGAGCGCTATTAAATTATACGCGCATAATGTCATACGTCGCGGACCGCCACAGGATGCGGCGGTCTTCGCGCAAGGCCTTGCCCAACGGCGACCACGATTCTTCCCTGTCCGCTATCGTATACCTGTCATTGCACACGTAGAGACAAAGCGTCCGCCACTAATCGAGGACCGCTAAGCCGCCTTTCTTCGCCGCAGTTCGCCCGCGAAGCCGAGACTAACGACTGCCGCGAGATCCTTTTCCTCGAATAACGTCGGAGCATTTAGGACTCTCGTGTCCTTGCCCAACGCCCACGTGCGAACCTTTGTCTCGAGCGCGAGCTCGGAGTCGCGCGTCGTCAGGGGCACCGGCGACTGCCAATTGGTATCAGTTTCGGCGCACCAACTACTAACTCGTTTTACCTGGACCGGATCCGCAGGAGGCTCGACATTTTTGTTCAAAACAGAGATTAAATGCCACGCTTGCGCGTTAAGTGAATGCAATTAATGAATTATAACCGTGTTCTTCGTACATCTATCTGTTCGATTTAATTTCTTTTAATATGGTGGTCTCTTACTCGTGCCGTCTTACTTTGGAATTTCTGTTACTAATTTCACATATACTTCGAATTTTTTCTCGACGTCTCACGCAAATCGATATTGTATCGATGGGTCCTTGATTAAATGGGTCCGGTGACCCGTGAATAAATTAATAATAATAATAATCGCTGACGCATAAGTGATAAAGAAACCGCGAATTATCAGCAGCCACGGGGAGATTTCATTCCTATCATCCATCCCGAAATCTAGATTGGACTCCTGATTGGATCGCAGCGAGAATAAATTTTTCCCGCCCGGATATTTCGGAAGCTGGAGCGGCAAAATGCCCGAAGCGAATTTTCACGGTGCAAATCTGCACAGCTTTCAATATCAAATATCCGTAACCATCGGCGCATGTTTTTTTTCCGCTTGTTCTCTCCGATAAACCGGCGATTAAGCAGACACCCGATAATTCCGCGATACACGCGCGATGTAATCGGCACAGCGCGCGCCGCTTTTAATAACCGTGCGCGTAAAAATAAACGTCGATCGGTGCCGTCGGTGCATCGCCGTCGCTCTCGTTACGTATTATCGGAGCAATCGCGTCTACATCCACCGGGCGATGTGTATCAATCGCAGATTAATATCGGGACCGTGTCACGGGTACGCGTCGCATCGCGCATTCCTCGCAGCGCAAACGCGCGTTATCCGCGTTACGAAGCGGTCCCGGCCGCATGAAATTGAAAGTTAGCGTGGGCCGATAGCTACCGCCCAGACCGGTCCAAGTTTGCTCGTACATTAAGTCGGTGATCCGGCTCGAGGAAATATCATTGGCCTGCGTTCGTCGAGCGCTCCTTAGCGGGGGTACCGACGGGGGTGGAGATCGCTCGACGCGAGTCGAGTCGCGCAGACCGATATCGCGCGAAATAGCGTCTACCCGCGGGCGTTACAAAGAATGCAGACACTCGACTCGTTTCGCCTCGCGCAGTGAGGGAATGTATTTTCGCGATTTCCGCGGGCGGGAAAAAAAGGCGAGAAAGAGAGAGAGAGAGAGAGAGAGAGAGAGAGAGAGAGAGAGAGAGAGAGAGAGAGAGGGGGGGGAGAGAGGAGTTTGAGCAGCACGGCACGGCGCGAGTGTGTCTCGTAGCGCGTGGAATTTCCTCCGCGGCAAAAATCCGCGCGGGCAAATACCCGCGACGGGTTTCAGCTCCGTAAGTGGAAGCGCGCGGCGGCCGCTCGAGGTTCGTCGGTGTGCGATAAATTTTTACGCGCGACTTGACACATTAAGACCCTAGTTAGTTTCTCCGATCCGGGAAAGAGAGAGAGAGAGAGAGAGAGAGAGAGAGAAAGAGAGAGAGAGAGGAGGGGGGGGAAGAAACCGTCTTTCCCAATCGGTATTATAGTTACGACCACGATCCGGAATAGGACAGGCAATCGTCGGCCGGAGTTAGTTAACCGACGCTGTTGGCGCAACACTGACCCTGATTTAAATATTTACGAAGGCGGTATAGGCGCGCGCGCGCGCGCGCGCGTACGATCTCGACGAGAAGACGATTCCGCTCACGGATCGTCATCGGCCGGATACGAAGGCGTCGCGCGTAGCATCGCGCCGACGGAATTCCACTCGGCCGTGTCGAAGAGCGCGCTCGCTCTAGAATGCGATAATTGGTCGCGTCGTTGGCGCGGCTCCGTCGAGCATGAGCTCTGATGACAGCCGTTCGGTCGTTTTCCGATTGCAGGTCGCCGGACAATTATTGGACACGGAGTTCCAGCCGACGGTGACGGCGACGTGCAAAGGCGGCCACATGACGATCCGCGTCAACCTCAATCAGAGCTTCGTGGGCGCGGTTCATGCCCGGGATCATCGGACCCCGCAGTGCATGGTCTCAGGCAATGGCTCCACGCAGGCCACTTTGGGCATCAACCTATTCGCGGCCAACGATAGTCCCGAGTACTGCGGAGTCCTCGTGAACAACGTGAGTCTTTCCGCGATTATGGAAATCCGCAGGTCGAGCGGCCGGCGGCCCCCTGGCCGACGGAATCGTGAGAAACAGGGAGACGTTATGAACTCTCATCGGGGCTTTGAACAACTGCGCGGAAACACTTGCTGCGAATTTCGTGGGTGCGATTGTCCGGAGGATCGAAAGAAATCGGCGCAAATTTTGACGGGTGGGAAGAGGAATCCGCGTAGCGTCGCGCCATAGTTGTGAGGAAAATTCGTGGGACGGAATTTTGTGCAATTGTCCAGCCGTGCCTCGGGACGGTAGCTGAGGCACGGCCTCGACGGAGACGTATTGCGGTGAATTAATATTCGCGCCTATTTACGCGAGAAGCTTCAGGCAATTAATTGTTTTGAGGTTGTTGAGTATGTTAATTCGCTGCGTAGACGGCTGCGACCGCAGCGACGTCTCCGGCGGCGCGAGGCTAAGTCATACACGCGGAAATAACCATTTGCATTTGAATACTCCTCTTTCCGCGGAGATATTTGTTCCGCGAGTGTAACGCGCCAAGAGAGAGCCCGAGGAGAGCTCTCCCTGCAAAATCCTCCCCATTCAACTCGGATCCGCGAAAAATTCACGCCATCTTCGCCAGCGTCTCTCCCGCGCGAGTCGAGATTTATTTCAGGGACGCGAACGAACGAAAATCACTCAAACGCAACAAGCGTTTGCACGGCGAATGCGCCGCGTATGCCGCATTATCGTTCTCCGTTCTATGTACATAAGCGTGGTGACTTTGCAGCACACGGAAGAACGCTCCATTCCCATCGCTGTTAGGATACACAAGACCCTGGAACTGGCGGACGACAAGTTTTACGTCATCACGTGCGGGAAGGCGGGCTTCAAGAACGCCAAGTGAGTTACCACACTGATGAGACTAATGCGAGACGGGGAATAATTACCAGCGACAAATGGCCCGTAATTTTGCAATGCTCTGCCGAAGAGCTTGCGAAGACCACGTCGAGATACACACGTAAATTTACGGCGAAATGTCGCCGGCGAGGTTCGCGCGAAACGAGCGAACGTCAAACGTTGCCGAGCTGAAGAACCGCGCTTATTCGGCTCGTCGGCGTCGTCCGCGAGTAGGTGAGATTTTCATCAGCACGACGGGCTCATTGAAATGCGTAACAAACGGCGGCGTCGCGATGCCGCACTCGGCACCGCCTTATTTATGGACTGTTCGCGGCGGTATCGTGAATAATTGCCACGCGGTAGATTCTGCCAGACGCGCGGGAGATAGAAGTGACTACTCGCGCGGCAGCGCGGCTTGACACGCACGAACAGCGCGCTCTATCTAAACGGGAAATAGCGTTCGCGCGGCTTTTAATCGGTCATTAGCGGCCGCGCGCGCGCGCGCGTTTTCTAATCGGTCGTTGATATATTCGCCGTTCGATAGCACTCGGCCGTATTGATTTCCGCTCGCCGCCGATTGTACGCGCAGATTATTCGTCGGCTTATTATTTAGGGCCGAGAGCCCTCGCTCGAAGGGTGCCGCGCAGAAGAGTGCCGCGGATCGGGATACAATTAAGCACTTTCGCGGCAGGCGCCGTTATTACGCGCGGTGTCTCAATACTCCTGACGCCGCGCCGTCGCTGATAAATGGCGGTGCTCGCGAACACATGGCGCGAACACATCGATATTTCAACGAGCGAGACGTAACGCCGCGAGACGAGGAAATATCTCCGACCCGAAGACTTTCACAGAGTCGCCAGGTGCGACTGATACTTGTCAACCGCCGCGCCGCGCCGGCTACGGCGCTCCGACGCTTGAAATAACTTCGGACGCGTGTGTCGAAATGCGTTGCGCCAAGTTAGACACGTAACGAAATACTCCCCCCCGAGCGGACGATGCTGAAATTTAATTAGGCGCCCGGGAATTAGATAAATGGAGCGGCAAAGCGGCAAATTAACATGCCTGTGACGCCGCGGTTTACCGCAAGTCATTTTCTTATTCCGCGGTGCAAAACGCGGCCAACAATTGGTATGCGACTGTCGTCGGGCGAGATACCCGGCAAATAATAATTAGCTCCTTGGTCTGTGCGCACCTTTTGAATATCTTCTTGCCTTGTTCTTCTTTCTTTTTCTTATTAATCCACCGAGGCCACTTTGAAAGTCAGGACACGATTCTGTGCGGCTCGCGTAATTTTCTCGTCGACGTCGTATCATACGTACCGATTCGTCGACGACGTTCTTCCCTTTTCTCTTTCCCCGCGCTCTTGAATCACTCGTTCGCTCGCACTCGGATCGCTTCGATTGATCGATCGATCGATCGAGCAACCGAGCTAACTCGCTTCGCACGGCCGGTAATAAGGAAATATAGTACGGAACGCGCGCGTGAAGAAGCGCAAGCTCACGAGACAACGCTTTTTGCACAGAAATGAAACTTCGCTGGTTTCCCTGCGCCTCTTGGACGGAGGCGTCAGAGTGCAAGAAGCTGTATACGGTCACAACTATACGATGCGTGCCGAGATTTCACGCCCAGACGGTTCGTATTTTATATCCCATTCCACCGCCCGTGTTTATGTTCAGCCGATACGGACTAGTCCGTTAGCCATTTGCCGCGTGAGATCCTTCCGCCCGAGAAAGGAACTGTTTCGTTGAAACAATTCAATTTGCAGGAATGTACGGGATTCGAGTCAAAAATTGCGTTGCGTTCAACAAGCTCAATTCCAGCGTGCCGCTCATAGACGACAAAGGGTAAGCCGAGCGCAACAATTTTTCCACATATTGCGCACTCTAATTAAGACTGGCTTTTCTTCTTTCAATATTCATTTGCTCATCTTGCGTGCATTTTAGCGTTATGTTAAATTTAAGCAATCGAGTGCTCACATATCATGTGACGATGTCACTCGAGTCACGCCAAAAGATGTATTTAATTGCTCGAATATAACGACACCGAGATGTGTAAGTGGATATAATCACAGGATAGAATATCATATTCCGTAATTTCCGTGAGAGACGTAGATCTTAAGGTGATACAATTGATAATAATGTCGAGGCGAGCTTCTCTTTACGACAATATAAGTTTTCGTCCGGAAAGACCAGATCGAGCGGCGTGCAAGCAGTATTTTCATTAAAACTTCAGCCACTGCCAAGTTCTTTATTGCATAAAACGACAGAATCCCCAGGCTTCTCCGTTTACTCGTTATAAGTTTTCTCTTTTGTCAAAGCGGCTTTATAGAACTCGGCAGATAGCACGCTCTCGGCCGGGAGAGAAGTTAAAATTAGTTGTAATTCTATTTTCATCGCTAAGATCAGCGGAAAAGGCACGCTGCTTGAACGTTGCGTTGAACTCTCGTTAGCTCGTTATCGCGACACCTCGCGGAGTAATTTTTGCGATTTATTTCTATCGCGCAGCTGCCCCGTGAGGGCTCTGGTGATGACGAAATTCATATACGATCGGAGCACCGGCATGGCGGATGCCACATTGTTCTCGATGTTCCGGTTTTCCGACAGCTCAGAGGTGCATTTCCAATGCGACATCGCAGTGTGCAGAGGTAAAGTGATCCGGTGAATGATTTCCCATCAGCGAATTCCGTCGCGAAAGTAGGTTATAAAATGCCATTCAACTTGTGCGATTCGTCGCTACGCGTTGTCGCTGCGGCACGTAGCTGTTCCCGTTCCCGTTTGATAAGAGGAACAGCTTTTTATGCAGAAAAAAAAAATAGACGAAAGAAACGATCCTCTCAGAATAGAGATAGTCTTCGCGATAACGCGATAATGAACCAAGAGCTACCGATAGATCGCTAGAGAATAATTATCCAATGAACGTTATCCTTTCTCTCGTTTCGGCTTGAATCTCTTTTATCCTCTCGCGAATTGCGTCGACACCTTCCGCGAGAACTCGCGCTGCTGCGATTCAATCGTTAGCGTCAGCAAAAACTCGACCGTAACTTTTCTCGCCCGCCGCATAACAAATAGTGCAAATTTCCATGCTCAGGAAGCTGCGGCATCCCCATTTGTGAAGGAGACAAAGAGGAGCTGATAAAGGGTGGCTCCTCCACTAACGGGCAGAGTGTTAGTGGCGAAGAGGGAGTGCTGCTCGCCGGGACGAGTGTTTTTGTTCTCAAGCCGGGCGAACAACGAGGTGCGTATGTCTTGCACTATCGGCGTAATTAATCGTTATCGTTACGCACACATCATCATAGTTATCGGCACGGCGCTATTAATTTTGACCGAGTGCCATTGTCGTGTGAAAAGAAACAGTCGTCGGTCTTCCTCTCCTCCGCACGTGGCAGCCTGACTCATCGACGTAAAGCGAGGATCGGGACTCGATAAAGAGATCAATGAGAGCGGTCGGATTGGATGTTAGCGGTCGGAAGAAGCCGTCGTGGCGATACTCTGTAGTTTTGACGTGCCGTCGTGACATGAAAAGTATAGAGAGCCACGAGTCGAGAATGCGTGCGAGCTTCTTCCTTCCCACCCTTCTTCCGTACTCGTTGCTTCGCTTCTCTCGCACATATCCCCTTTACGTCTTCTTTTCGCGCGTCGCAACATGCTCGCCGTCCCGACTTCGTCATCCCGACGTGCGTCTGGATGTCGCTTCTTGCGGACATGCAAATCTACCCCCCTTGGGGCTGTCGCCAAATTACAATGCGTACTCAGACGTGACACGAGTAGTTTTATTCCGCGCTTGCGACTCTTTCCCTCGTCCGACCCTGCCGAATAACACCATCATTTTCAATACGCCTTCCGCCGCTCTTCGGCGCAACTCGCCCGTCTCTCAGCGAAGAACTCACACGCGTTGAAATTAATCGGATCAAGCCACGATACGAGCACGAAACGGAACACTTTCTCACGTCGTTTGGTCCCGTTAATTGATGCATCGCCGTTAGAGGCAAGACGACGCGGTGTGAGCTCGCAGAGCGATGAAAATTAACGAAAATTCCTCGCGAATCGCTCGAGCATTGTCCACGTCGGGCCCCACCGGGCTCGACCGGGGCGAGAATCGCCGCCCGGTTTTCCACTCGCCCAACGCGCGCGATCGCTCGATTCGCTCGTTGAACCGTCCACCACTTGCAAAACGCAAAACGCGTTTTACCTCTATCGTCGCGCGACGCGCCGCGGAGAAATCGAAGTTCCGCTGACGCAATCGAATTACCCTGGTCGACGCGGTGTTTCCGTTTTCACGGCGCGAGGCGCCTGTGTAAATGCGCGGGTACACGCGCGCGATTGTCGTGCGAGATGCGAAAGTTACACGGTAGTTTCTGCATTCGCAGTTGTACAAACACTGCACGATGACGGCAGCGTGCACCCGCTGTGGCTGCTGTGGCTCGCGGTCGCGCTCGGGATATTATTCCTCATCATGCTCATTATCAACATATTCCTGTGTTCGGCGATGACCTGCAGCTGCACCCGGACCGACATCATCGAGAAGGAGCCGTCGATCATCGAGGATTACGACCCGTACCGCAGCTGGCACGGTTCTCAATACGGGTCGAGGTTTGACTTAATTACCTCTCTAACAGCGAATCGCGCGCCGACAAAGTATCTCTATTAATCGCCTCGGCGAGACGTACGATCGCGCGAGGATAGCGCAACCGCGCGCGCGCGCGCACGCGAGCGATTTGAACCCTCGCCGCGCCGCGCCGCGCCGCGCCGCGAGTCGATTATCGATAAGACGCGACGTATCCGCCGGGATACGCCGGATCGAACGACGTTCGAACGGCCCCCGCGCTCTTCATGCTGCTTTTTCGCGCAGCACGGGCTGCGCTCCGTGTAAGTTAACAGAGAAACAGAGCGAGCGAGCAGGAAAGAACGCGCGCGCGCGAGAGAGAGAATCCCCGCGGGTATCGATCGTGAACTTTCTACAAAGTATCGCGCTGGAACGCAACGCGGTCACAAAAGATGGCAATTAATATAGCCGGGATCGCCCGTGCGCGATGTATGCGATGGCGTGTGTGCTTGAACGGAACCCCTTTCTTCTGTCCAGGTATTCGTTAAACGGCAAGCAGGGCTACGCCTCCGGGGGATCCACCATGAACTCCACGAGGTCGATATCGACCAACAGCGATCACTACGCGATAGTGCACTCTCGACCGGGCAGCAGATATTCCGGCCCCGGCCAGAAGCACCATCACCATCACAGAGGACCGCCGTCCAACATCGGCTCGCACTACTCTGGGAAATGATGGCCGCCTTAGCTTCGTTTATCGAATGAATCTAGAACTCACTCTCTCTCTCTCTCTCTCTCTCTCTCTTCGTTGTCTTCATTAACGTTTACTTTCATTCATCATACGAATTCGTACGCGTCGCTGCTGCGGCACTCATACGATCGCACGAGTCGCGGGCGTTCGGTTTTCGAGCGCGAAATTACCGACGCATCTCGAAGGAGACTCTGCTGGCCGTCGAGGCGACGTTCAACGACGTATCGACGTTTTCTTGAGCTCGTGTCGCTCGACCGACGGATCCCTCGTGGTGTCTACCGCAATCGTGCGTGAATCGTTTACACTCCGTCGCTTTGATATTCGCATGCAATCGATTCGTAATAAATGGCGTAGAAGAGTGACGCATTCGTGATTGACGGCCTGAAAATATTATGCAATAACAGTGCAATAGCAACATGTGCGTTTTATGTAACGCGAGGATACGCAGAGGATCAAGAAAATGTCGATACATGAGATCCGATACCTCAGTAACGACGTTGATTTAAGCTTCGCGACAATCCGAAGTTCATGCCTCGAGAGAATAGAATTATGTCATGCTCCGATTATCATACTGTGTATTCGTTATTTGTCCCACGGGACATTTTACTCGATAATCTCGCGTCTTGTTGACGATATTAATATCAGCGGCAATAAGCAATGTGATTAATTCGGGACCAAGTATATTAACGAAATAAAACTCTCTATACGTCAGCACGATTATTATTATATATATATATATACATATATATATATATATATATATATAAAAAACACTGCATGCATCTCTATACGTCGAAACTTTTATACCTAGCCTTATGATTCGTCAGACGATTCTCGCGCTTGGACACTGCGTATGTATCATATAATAATATAATAGTCATCAACTATAGGCACACACTAGCATCTACGAAACTGCGGAATATTCTGCGGATCTTAATTAAGATATGACTAGTTAAATGCTTTTTGTACATAAATCCATTAATCGAAAGACAAGACGTGTGGCCTTTTATTTCTGCCGCCCGAACACGCGCTTCGCGACCTGATCGCGCGCGGGAATGCACCGCACCACATCCTTCGTCCTTCGAACGTAGTTTTTTATCCAATGAGAAATGACGCGCCGTGGCCACGTTCTCATTATTCATGTCGAAGGCGCGTTTCGCAAGTTTTTTTCTGTTCGTTTCCTACAACAACGTTGCCGCTTTCCGCGCGCTTGCTCGATAATAACAATTCGATTACAGATCTCTCGCCTGCGGCGGTTGCGCTCGCGCCTTCTCACTGCTGTTTATTTTATTATGAAACGGTTCGCGCTTCATTACTGGTCAGCGCCCGTGATTCCGAATTGCTCGGCTAATTTACTAATTACTTGCTCATGCGGTTATGTATACGTACGTGTGTGTATTATTTTTCTCTTTTCCTAGAAGCCTTTTTTTTTTCAGTCTAGAAAGAGACTAATGTAACGTTCATCTTGGCGTAGCGTCATAATTTTGCGGTGATATGACAAGAATAATGTTGCCCACCCGCACTTGCCGAGCGAGAATACCGTTATTCCACCGTCATCAACGCTAATCACGATAATTCCCATTACCCCCGGCTGCATCTCGTTTTCGTTCTCATTTTTCCGGAGGCTTTTTCTCATTACTTTCGTAACTAACTACCTCCGTGACCTTCCGACTTACCTTCTTTTTTATCCTGAACGCACCCTGACTATGTCGGGTATGTCGGAATAATTATATCCTCTTTGTAAAACACGCTTATTACAGCCAAGTTGCCAAGTACAAATTGGACGGCTTTTATACTGCGGGAACTCGGAGTGTGTGCGTTCACGTGAGAACCGCGAAGAACGTATTTCTCGAAAAGGCTTTCTCCAGGAGAAGCAACGACGACGACGACGACGACGACGACGGTGCGGGAACGTATTATAACGTGCGGGGAATCGGAATACTTTTAAAAACGATTTATTAAAAATACACTTTTAGAATAAAATACGATCGAGTGACTCGCGGTAGCAGGCTCGCATGCGCGCCTGCACGAGTGTGTGTAACTCTCGCTTAAATATTCTATTATATAAAACACGAAAACTCATTTGCTTACGAATGGTAACTGCCGATATGTGTACGGGTTTAGTTATGTGAGATAATTATACAGGGGGGAGGGGGGGGGGAGAGAGAGAGAGAGAGAGAGGAAGAACTGATATTACTAGCTACAGGAATACTGGGAAATCTTCAGTATTACAATATTTACAACAACAACGGTTGATGATTCCTGCTGGAAAAGTCAATCAGAGTGACGGCAATTGCGACATTACGCTCGTTATACATGCGACACTGCCGTGCTTTCGAACAGTGTGTAATCGCTCGCGTCGTCGCTTCTTCGTGATTTCATCGTACCTATCAGACAACAAATTACCTTATCTTTGACGATTCGGTAGTAATCGTATTGGATCAACTATTCTCAAAGTGTCGTACATACTAAATTAATGCGATTACCTTCTGTGCGCGCAACAATGCGCGCGTATCGCGATTCACTTTCGCGAACCGAGGATGAATTATCTCGGCTCGAGTATCCTCCACTGCTTGCACTGTCTGCTAATGTCTTGGAACCGTGATTGATCGTCGAATTTCGGATTCGTTCGTGAGAGGAAACGCAGAACCGCAGAACGCGCTCGCGCTGCGATTAACTAAACGGCAGATGCGTGCTGCCTCAGCTTGCAAACACTATTCTTACTTAAGAGTAGAAACTGAGAGTATTAAAATAGCGCATGGTTGCTATCCCGCAAAGTCATTATCCGTATCTGTTCGAGCAGACTGACGTCACAGCCGATCGTTGACGATCGCTTCGGCCGAGACATGTACTTGCCGCAAACTCGCTTCCCTTAAATCGTGTCGCGTCGCCTCAAATCTTGGTCTAGCGAGTGTCGAAGCGCCAGAAGCGAACGGCCGACTCGAGAAAGCAACAATTAACAACTGAAGCGCACGTACAAAAAAAAAGTTGCAGTGAAAAGACCGAAAATTTCAGCTGGCACTTTTTCCTAATCGTAAACATTCGCGAGAACGTCATATACGATACGTTCCTTCGCATCTGACATATAAGTAAACTTTTATAAGTTTTTAAATAATTATTTCATGCTAAGATCTGCGATCTATTATAATTACGAAAATTGAACAATAATCACGGTCGGCACAAAGTGCCGTTCTGCCGTTGCGACGTCGCTAACCGAACAAGCTGAAAAATCTCGCGCATCTCTTCTGGACTGAGAGCCATCGAATCGCATTCGTTGGCGGATTGGTTGGACGATTGTGCTACTGAGTGTTTCGTGTTTCGCTGATACCGACGAGCGTATCTATTAAAAATTGAATCGGGATTTTATCTACAGTTACAAAGCACGACGTACGCGCGCACTCGTGTGCGATCATCTCGTATCCATGTGTAATATTGTATATATGGACTTGGGTGTGTATGCTAGTTGTGTGTATATGTGTGTATATGATCGAATGTGTTAAGCGTTAATTGTGAGTTGCGTATAAACGTAGAGTATTTTCCATAGAAAATGGAGGCACCATGAATAAACGTACAGCTATTGTCGCGCCGTGTGAATGACGCGTGGTATTAACGATAACGTGTGTCAGCCTACCTACAATTGAATAGTCACGGCATTTAATTGGAGGAGGGGCCAGATTCGAAAGAGAAAGGAAGAGAAAGACACAGATGGAGAGAGAGAGAGAGAGAGAGAGAGAGAGAGAGAGAGAGAGAGAAACATGGATTAAAGATAAAAAAATAAATAGCGTGCTAACGTATGAATTTCTATGCTGGTGTCGAAATTGTCTCGACATCTTCTTAGATATCTTCCGGACCGTCGAGAGGCAATTCTACCCTGATATTTCCGTTTAACTTTTAACGCAAGTCTTAATTAATAATTTCATGTGGGCTGTTCAGAGGCTGGCGAATTTACTCCCTAACTAGAAGGTTGTTTCAGTAGCCTGGATCTGTCGAGGGAAATCCACTGCCGCCTGCAATCGATATTACTGACGTATTCTAACATCGTGGATATCGACGAGTACTTTCCGTCGTTTATTCTTACGAACGAAAACTTATTGCAACTTCTCCGGCCACAGGGAAACGAACGAACGAACGACAAAGCGTTTGATGAAGAAGAAATGACAAAGATGACAGAAAGCGATCGACTGCTCGGAGAAAATGGAGCGAAGACATTCGCAAGAAATGAAGAGCCGAGAATGCTAATGACTCAAATAAATATTACTTCTCTATATTCACGCGAAAGGTGAATTTTTATTCCCCCCGTACGTGTGTCTTTTGCACTGGCTGATGTGACGAGAGGATTTTCGAGTCATCTCAAAAGTCGTGGATTCCACGATCGCGCAGATCCAACCTCCTCGAAGAAAACATTACTCTAATGATAATAATCCATCGTTTTCGAACCGCCGTCACGATGAAAACTTCTCCGACGGTCGTGGATCTCTTCCTCTCTTATACACGCTACCTACCTACCTACCTACCTACCTGTCCCATTACTCCCACATTAATATCTCGTTAACTGTAGTGACTATTTCTACATTATTTACAACATTGCCAACGTTAATCAGAAACATACGTTCGTACGTTTCCTGAGCTGAGATGCTTCACTCGTCATAACGGGGTTCGCGGGGGTTCGCGCCATCCCGTGATTCCCATACAGCGTGAATATCTCCAACGAGATTTCTCCGAGTGTGTGTCTCTTCGCTCGCCCAAATGACGAGGCGAAGGGGTCTCACTCATGCGCTCGATCGGGAGACAAATCGCCATGATTGCATTGCGCAATCGCACGTATACCTGAATATCCGCGCTCTACGGGATTCGCAGCGGGCGGTCAGCTGCTTTCAAAATAACAAGAGGGGTAAAACTCGCAACATAAGTGGCACAGTGGCGGGTGAAGCATCTGGAACACAATAAATTATCGAGTGCCGCCAACGTGAAGTCATCATCGTCTCTGTGAACGTTCGTCTTCTCGCGACGTCCAGCGGGACGTCGATCGCCTCTCGTTGATCCATCGCCTCGCGAGTCTCTCCTCAGCATCCGCCCATCGGTTTCCTTCGCGCTTCGTCCACACCCGCCTTCGATCCCGATCTCGCGAGGCAACGGGTCGACATCCTTCGGATTCTCCTCGGCCCCGATCGATCGTCCTCGATGTCTCAGCCCGGACACGCCCTCGAGGACGGTCGGTCAGGTCGAGGAGCTCAGAAAACAAAAGGGAGAAAAAAATATTACAAGCTCGCGCGCTACTTTACAGGAATATTCTACAAGTATCGTATGGACTTTGGAGCGTCTCTCGGTCTCTCCGAGCCGGTTGCTCGCACATTCGCGCATCAGTGGAACGCGGAGTCCAGCGACAGCGGCGGCGTGATGGGTGGCAAATGGTCACCGCAGGTCGGGAAGTTGGGCGGTATCGGCGGCAGGTCCCCGTGCGTCCCCACGTGCAGGATCAGATTCATACCGATCAGTATGTGGAACAGGAAGTGGCAATGGAACAGCCAGTATCCTGCGGAGGAAGCATCGCCCGGCGTTATCGCTGTTTGTGCGGTGTTTTAACGCGACGCGATTGACGGCACTGCCGTCAATCGCGCTTTTCTACGTTAATGGTCGCTGCGACCATTTTCTCCTTTTCCGCCAAGATTCCCAGTCGTTCGCTCGTAAAATCGCGAGAAGACACGTCGTGGATGGTTTTAAGCGACTTTACCGGAGACTTTTCTCGTTCAGCGGAGGGAATACTAATAGCTCGCCGCGTTCAACGAGATATTTACGCGATACAAGTATCAACCAACCTGGCCGAGAAGGCCCGGGCGATCCGCGGTCGGTAGGGAGCGCCCGTTATAGTTGTAACATTTTACACACGGTCCGAAGTGAAATAATCGGCGTATGCAGATGCGCCTCGCAAACTTTTGCAATTACGCGAGCAGCCGCGAGCGGAAGCAGTTTGCATCTCATCAGACTGCCGCGAGCGTGCGCGCCCGCAAAAAGTTAGTTCACTATTGTCGCGGTTAACTTACCCGGATTATCCGCACGGAACCGGAAAATGACGTAGCCGTTGTTGGGGACCGCGATAGTGTCCTTAGCGGGGGGCAAGTTGAACTGTCTGTGCAAGAGACCGCGTTTGTCGAGGTCCAAGGCGTGCTTCAGGTTGATCTTTTTCACGTTCTTATCGGGAGAACGACCGATACCGACCACATTGAACGCGTATCCGTGCAAGTGGAAGGGATGCGACAGATTTGGCTGTTGTACTGTAATCGTAGACAAAGGTCGATAACGATAACGATGTTTAGCAATGGATGCTTTCTCGGACTGACACGATCTCAAAACGCGAGATCGAATATTCGACTGACAAATCTGAGAAACGTATTTCTTCTCGCACAGTCAGCGTCGTCGAAAATTTGTTTGTTCCAGAACTCTTGTTTCCTCAAACTCAAATCTCTCCTTGAGATGTATTTTTCAGTTTAATCCGATCCGAACGATCTCGAACGCAAAGAAATGATGGATCATATTAAATATTGTCGTCGCGATAACGCGACGTTGGAGCAAAGACAGATCCGCGGCACATACCTTCGTCGACGAGAACCACCTCGACGACCGCATTATGCGGAATGTCGACCTGATGCGTGCACATGCAGTTGGCACCGCAATCGGCCGGTCTGTTATCACCGTTGCAGAATTGTTCAGGTGGAATGTCATCGATTTGCGAGAGCGGAGGCGCCGGAGGGAACGTGAACGAGATCTCGTCAACGAGAGAAATTACATGGTCGCCGGTCGGCGCAACTGCAAACACATCCAAGTCGCACCATGAGCTATGAACCGCGCTGTGAACCCTCGAGGGAACTTTGAGATCGCGCTATACTTCGCATTACATATTGCGCGGTCGATTTGTCGACACGGAGATATGGCTTCATCGAATGAACGAGCGAAGATGCAGGGATACGTTGATTGCGCGGTGAATCTAACAAGAACAGTTCTTCTCCTTGTATAAGTGAAATTCCTTGAATTTTTGCGATGTGCTTTGTTCCGAAATAAACGCCTCTTAACGTATGGCTCGCGTTCTCCGTGATACTCCCCCCATCGAAGCTCTCTCTAATTGCTTTGTGGAAAAAATTCTACCATTTATAACGGACATATTTGAAGCGGTGTGCTTCACGATGTACGGCCTCGTGTAATTCCCGCTGCTTCGAGCATCGGCGAATCATGTTGCGTGCAACGTGCGCGATCGTATCCCTTCTTGAGCATATTGCAACTCTCGGAGCGTACCCGGGGGATGTCGGACGAAAATCAAACGCAATCATCGCGTGGCGCATTCGCCTCTCCTCAGCGGATTAAACCGCCTATTATGCTTATTAGCGCGTTCTTACCGAGGAAGCGATTGTAGGTCTGCGGTTGGAAGACCTCTTCTGGTCTGTAGAACAGGAAGCGGAACGGCAAGAAGATTTTCACGTCAGGGCGTTGTTGAAGGATACCTTGATCAATGTGTCGGGCGTTTTTCAATTGACTCACGCAAATTGCATCCTGGCGTGGTCGGTTGCAAATGGCATCCAGAGGATTCAGGACCTGAGGAGAGAACGCTCGAAAATTTCTTCCTTCTTAAGCTTCGTGCTTAACGGCGCGCGAACGCCGTCCGTTCATTATTCTCAGAAACATTTTGCGACTTAACAGCGAGGAGTTTTGGTTGTATACTGTGAGAGATGTATTATAACTGACGTGAAAATATATTTGCGTCCATTCTTGGAAACCTGGGCTCGGAACTCTTCATAATAAATGTTTTCTCGAGTTAACATCGTCTTCTAAATTTTTCTTTTTCTTTTCAACAAAGGATATCTCCGGCCGCTAAAAAAGTAGTGTAACGCCTAATAGGGAAAGCTCTTTCTTGTCTTCTTGACGCGTGACGTTTCCAAGTGCCAAACTCGTTTTTCCTTCTATAGCTGATAAGGATCAAGAGAGTTCCTATTTTATCGATTGAAAATAACACTCTGATTCCTTCTTGTCACATTTACGTACATTTGACGTTTCGTTATCAAGTCACGTTGACATTTCGACATCTCTCTTATGTTTTGAAGAGTGCGCGTAATGATAATCAGATAATTCATTCAGTTCGCACTCTGACTTTCTTTCGCTTACAACATTCGAACAGATGGCAGCGCATGTCACAACGAAGCTTCTCATAAAGCTTTGATATTAAAGCGTGATATTTTTTCGTGCAAATTTCGTGCGGAAGGTTTGATTGTATTTTTCAAGCTCTATCGCGTAAGCAGATATTCTTAATGTAAAAAATAGATGCATGCTTACGACGCCTTGCGGTAGACCAAAGTCATACGTAGGTGGCGCCGTAGAAGGTTGATAAGGACCACGAGCGTATCGCAGGATAGCTAGTTGCTGGGCTCGAGGAATTCCACATTCTCCGAGCGATCGCAGTTGGATCCAATAAGCGCCGACCTGCTGGTCGGCATTTATGACGAAATCGTAACGTTCACCTGACGAGGGAATGTAAAACTTTAAACGATGATATATATTTGGCGCGAGAGCGATGAAATAAAAAATCTTGATCACTCTCTTTTTTCGCAAAAGTGCGTGTGCGTGTGCGTGTCAAGTAATCTTCCTTGATAGACAGACTTTTTCGGATTTGTTATCTCAAACGCGTCATTCATTTTTGCGTTCGATTATTCTTCTGTTTAACTTGAATGAAAGGAGTGGCAACTTTACCCGAGAAGGAAATTATGGTGTTAACTTGTACTGGATGCACCGCTTCACCATCAGTGGCGATAATGGTGAGGGTGTGACCCTCGACAGTAACTTGAGCAGGGCACACTGATCCGTACGAGTTGATCAGTCGGAATCGGTAACGACGCCCCGGAGTCACCGTGAACACTTCGAGGGGCGTGTTCGTCATAAAACCGGTGTTAGGATCCTGCAATAAATGGTATGAGCTGTGCTGAGAAATGAAAAGCCCCGATGCGCGATCGTAGCGCGATTGATCGGCAAATCATGTAATGGATTGTGCAGCGAATTTATCGTCCGAGGAAAGTGAAATCTTGTTCGCGAGGTTTTATATATATTTGAAACTTTTCTCAAATTCTGTCATCTCGCCGCAATAACTGATGCGGCAACAGGATATTTCTGGATACTTCCGGAAATGATCCCGTCGCGAATCATATCAATCGCAGCGTAGCTGGTCTTGTTTGTTGCAACGTCCCGTTAAATAGTATTCGTTTCCTTTTTGTTCAAAGTTAATATCCCCCGATCAACGTACCCTAAATTGACCCTTTCCGTTGATCAACACGCTCTCAGGCGCTTGACCAGTGTTGACCGCGAGGCGACCAGGATAACGCTCGATAGCGCTCTCGTGGAACCAGTCGCTGATGAGTATCACGTGCGTGGTCAAATCGTAATCGTACAGATTGCTGTTGGGATCCTTGCTCGGTGGCTGTCGAATTATTATGCTTCCGTAAAGACCGTCGATCTTTTGCATGCCGGTGTGAGCGTGCCAGAAATGCGTGCCCTCGTTGCCCGCCGTCCACTGATATCTTTACACACCGTACAAGCATTTTATACCTTATAAATTGTCAAATATCATTATGCATATTGGATCCACGCATTTGTCGCGCACAAAATGTTGCTTCAGTTGGGAAGTTTGAATTTTCAAAGCGCCTTTGAGCAAAAATATTTCGGAAATCTATCATTGAACATCACGTCGAGATCTTATGTAAAATTTCTTCAATCGTATCTCTCTGCTTCTCTCGAAATTTCAACCAAACCAGTTTCAGCAGGTGAGCTCGAGGGAGTATCATTAATTGAAAGATCCGTGAGAGTGCTCTTTACGCGAGAACAAATTTGATCCTTTTTAAGATCACTCCAGATCACCCCGTTTTGTACCTGAACGTGTTACCCTCCTGAATGGGACACTGCGTCACGTAAGGCACACCGTCGTAATATTGAGATCCCCGTTGCCAGACACCGTGCCAGTGAAGTGTGACTTCCATTCCCTCCATGTGATTTTCCACGTCGACCACGACTTTGTCGCCCTGGCACACCTGGATGCTCGGTCCGGGGATCATTCTGTTCGCAGTCAGGATACCGCGCTCCACACCGTCCGCCAGGACGCATTGACACTCGCTCCACACGGAGTTGGTTGCGTTCGGTGTGCATACCTGACACGCTCTGAAAATTAGCGGCAACTTTGCACCGACACTGACCAGGGGAGTTGGGCAAACGACTTTTCACGAGTGCGCGGTAGCCTAATCCACCGGCCGCTTTCTGCTACCGAGAACTATAACGCCTCTCGCGAAGAAACGAGAGAAGCAGCCGAGAATTCCGACGTCCGTCGGCGAAACGTCTACTTTTCTCAGCTCAGAAAGACATTCTTCCGAAAAACTACCGCGCGCGTGCGCGCGTCACGTTACAAGATGTTACATAAGCAGGCAGGTAATACGCGGTGCAAAACGCGGTTTCCAGTCAACAACTTCCGTGCTGTCAACGACAGCAATTTCTACACCGGCCGATAAATCAATGATATTGTAATCCGTCATTGCGGAATAACGCGTTCGCAGCGGGAGGGATCGTTTCGCGTGCGCCGCGCCGTCGTGAGCTCGTCGTGAGCTCGTCGTGAGAGCTCGACGATCGTTTCGACGGTCGTTTCGCAGTTATTATTAAAGATGCACTTACGCGCCGAGCACGGTGTAATACTCGAGCGTGAAGTGGTAGTAGCATATCCTGGGCGGCTCGTTTTCGCGGCAGGCACGAGCGCACTCATCCGGTGACGAGAGTGATGGGTTCCGACGCAATTCGGCGGTGGCTCGCTCATTGTAATCGAGGGGTCGCGTCCTCGGCGGCCTTATCGTCACCCCTGGAGTACCGAGGTTGTCGACCCCGCCGAATCCGCTGCGGAACATGTTGCTGCTGATCGGATGGGTCTGCACGAGGCCATGGGCCGTGGGGAAGAAGTTCGCGCTGTTGTCCTGCGGCGTGAAGATGTCTTCGGTTTTCAGGGTGGGGGACCAGAAAGAGGATGAGATTGATTGATCCGCTGCCGTCGATTGATCTACTGTACGTAATGGACAAAGTCCAGGGTGAGAACGGAAGCTCGCGAGAGCCGGTTAGTGCGATACTTGGTTCCCCAAAGCAGTGCGAGCAGTCGAGAAAGGTGCGACGAGGACAATGCGTGAAGCAGCAAAGAGTGTTAATTTGTAAGGCACGTCTCTTGGATCTACAGCGTGTTAGTTCTACATTCTCCAAGCTGCAGGTAACTGTTGGGATTGAATGTCGAGAAGGGGAAGTCTCATGCGCGCAACTTGAGAGAGTTTATAATTATGACATCGCGGTTTTTCAATCTTGCGAAACGGCCGATAATAAAGCTGCTTGTTATTCGTAGGTCCCTGGATACGACTGGCGCGCGATTGTCGTTATTCCGTCGTACCATTATTTCGCCAGCTGGCCAGCTACGAGCCTGATGTCGTAACAGGATCATTACGAGCGTTCGTTTTGCTTCTGCTCCAGCGTCGATCGCGTAGACGCACGACGCGGCAGAAGCGGGACGTTTCAGCTCGTTACGTGTGGTGTATATCATGCCCAACGTAAACCCAATTTCTGTCGATAGGGAGTCGCGCACATAACGAGATCGAGAACTTGGGATCGAATGGTCTCAAGACAGGAATGTGCATGGGACCGTCTAACGACGGTCCTCTTAGCCTTGCAAATGTGGCTCGTAACGGCGCGATGGTCGCACGTTTTGCAGTCGCAGCTTTCAAAAGTGCTCTGCAACATTACCGTTCGCGAAGCGGAAATGATGTTCGAGCGGAGTAGAAAGCCGGGTTGTTCGATTGTTAGCGGTGACCAGACACAGTTAGCGGTAACAAGTACACGCGAAACAAAACGTGAAAGTACGATAATTCGATATGTGTGAAATTTATATGCGTGGCAGATGAAACTGATCGATAGACCGTAACGAGTGGTACAGTTGGAGTAAGAGCGATCAGGAGAACGTCGGCAGTAGGTGTGAGCGATGTGAGAAGGTTGAAATTTAATCACTGAAATATGCTGTGTTATATTTTGACGCAACGCTTTTTGGTTGAAGTAGACGCGCTGCGGCTTTTAAAATAGGCAAAGATGCAATATCTAATTTGCAGAAACAAGGATGAGCAGAAACCGACATGTATATATAATAATAAATTTATAGAACGTGAGCATGTAATAAATTCAAGACAAGTTATTCGAAATAATAAATTTCTCCTTGCAAAATATCATGTAAGAAAAACGTCAGTCCGAATTAGATAACCCATCTGTCGATCGGGAACGAACTGTCGTTGCACAACGATAGAATCGACTCCTATGACACGCGACTCGTCGATCCACATCGGGGGAAAAAACGGAGAAAACCACTCGCGCATTGTAGTCACGTTTGAAGTCAGCAACGGCACGCTACGGTAGAATGCGCTATTAGTAAGGATCAGCCGCGGCCGGCCGAGATTTATCTCACGGGATTTTTCAAGTATGACGTCTAATATTTCATGCTTTATACCGGTTGATCGCAGGCCTCGTTCGTCGATACTCGTAAGTCCACGACGTAGAGGGACGCGATAACGAACACTTAATATCGCATACGGAAGATTTAAGAGGGTTGCACGCTTTCTGGTATTACGTTAGTTCTGATTAAACAATGTTCCGCGAGAGTGAGTTTGTAATTACCTCTGAAATTACACGTTACGTCTTCCAAAATGGTAATTACACGAGGCAGCGGGTATATCTAATTTCTGCGTCGAACGTGCGCGCGCGCGCGCGCGCTTTGTTTTGAATGCAACACGCCCTCGACGTTACATGACATGACTTGTGCGAAAAATCGCGAGGCCCCGGTTAGACGTTGCAAATTTATGACCTTCATTCGTAATAAAAGGGAGGAACGGCAATTACCTATAATTACATGCATGGGGTTCGACGCGATTATTAGCGGAACGCAACATTGTGCCGCTCTTCTGCGCGCCGTGGTGGCACCGACGTCTCCACCCGCTTCTTTTCGCCCGGGCGAAATTATTCCGACCCTTTTGCGAGCTACTTTCTTTCATCGCTACGCGATTTCGCGAAGTGTCTCGTCGAGACACGGTCAACGGAGCAATCGCATGAGATTCTCGTAGTGTTGGCAGCTTTGAATACGTGTATAGTACCCGAGTGCTTTACGAACGACCAAACGAAGACGCGTGTTACGAGATACGACGAAATCTCAGCCGACAAGATTTTCTCGCGGCAACATCAAAATCTCCGTGAGAGAATCGAACGTTTCGGTGAGATATCTTCTCTGGAAAAGTTACATAAATAATTTTTTGTCCCATCGGTCTGCGGCTCTCGCGATTTTTCGCGATGGTCCCCGTTTCTTCCCGATGACATAAACGAGTTGAGTCACTCTGGGTCGTTTCACCCCGCGATTTATTTAACAGCCACTCCGGATGACTTGACGCATTCTGATCCGCGATCGTTCGCATTTCGAGTCCCGCGGAATTGCATCGTAGCCCAAGCGCACGGAGCGCTCGTTAATCTTTTTCTTTTTGCCCTCCTTTTCTTTTCCGTCGGTATCGTTACGTGCTGCACGGGGCCGCCGGGCTGACGTAACGGGCACATTGGCCTACGAATATCCCCGGCGCGGGCGCTCCGTCCGATCGAGTCGGGTCAACGTCGACTTCGCTGGATATATCCAAGTCGCGGAGCGGGCGTTTTCCGGCCGGCAGGTTAGCCGTATCGCCGCCGCAATATCGTTCCGACCGCCGAATGATTTATACTCCGTTGAAAGTCGCGCCGCGCCGCGCCGCGCCGCGCCGCGTTTCGCCACTCGTAATGCCGATTCCGCGAAATTTTTCCACCCGCCGACGAAATAACGACTTATTATAGTCCGCGAGCGCGTAAGTCGCGTCGTTCGCCCGGCACGAACGACGCGAGCATTCTTCGGCGGACAGGATATCGGCCGATCGCGAATACCAACGTTCCTCGCCAACGTTGTGCGGGCAACGTTGTGCGATTCTCGTCGGCTGGCGCCTGGCGTCAAGATTACCGGAAGAATAGCCAGGGAGAATCTCAGTATCGAGAGAGGAGCCCCATTCGAGAGAGTCTTGCGGACTCGGCAGGAATCAACAGGCGGGCGTCCGCGAGGAGAGGCGGCGACGACGATGACAATGAGTCGATGAGGCAATGACGTGTTAGCTCGGTCGCGTCATTCAGAGCGAACGCATAACGACGCCCTCGCCCCCGCGTCGGCGTGTTCATTATGCCGGGCGGGATGAGTGACGACCAGAGACGACTGTTGTCGTAAGACGTCGCCGTAAGCGCGCGCGAGCTCGCGGTTGTGCAAGGATGGGAAAAAAACAATGAATTAAGTAAGACAAAATCGCGCTTTCACGCTGCTGCCCCGGCCGCTCCTTTCGCGCGGCAATTAATCCGTCACACCTGCATTTTTACGCCTGCCGCTCGATTGTTCGACCGGTTTCCGAGCAACTGTGCATCCCGCGCGCAGCCGTAGGCTGCCACGATGCCTTCGCGATTGTCCTTAACGCGTGGCAGGACTCGTGGCAGACTTCTCTCCGGCAGATGGAGACATTTTCCGGCCGCTTGCGAACGCTACGAAAGGGAAGTCCAGGACTCGATTTCTTACTTAAGGATACAACGGCCATGGCGGGGGGGGGGGGGGGGGGAGGTGGTCGAGGGTTCTTCAAGCTTCCGCACGCTCGCGCTCGACATCGTCCTGTCAGAAACGTCGGTCGTAAGTGGAGTAAGTATCGGAGCCAGGACGTGTCGGCGAGTCGCGGAACCGCGAAGCACTTTCTTTGCGGAGCAACGCAGACGTCGACGTTTCTGTCGAAAGATCGGACAAGCCGAACCTCGGCGTGAAGAACTCACTTTCAGCGAGATCATTATGCCGGTTCCATTCCAAAGCGAGTTTCTGTAAAAACAGGAACTGTCGGCCAGTTCGCGTGTAATTTTACAAAACGAATGCGCGATACCGCTCGGCGAGATGCACGCGCAAGCATAACCGCATGAAACCGCAGCATAACGTGTAATTTACACAAGCTTCTTTCGCCGCGCGTATATTTCACTGTGTATTGGCTCGATTGTTCCTTTTCGTCCGTTTCTTTGCTTTTCTTTATATTTTCGCCGCGAAGGAGGAGGAGGAGGAGGAGGCGGTAAAAACGACCGCGAGAATGTGATGGCAATCGGTGAAAACACTCGGAGAAAATCCATTGAGTTCGAGAAACGATTGAAGGATAAAATATCGCGTCTCCTCCCGATATTGTCTATCGCGCCGATTCTCCTCCCCCGCATTCTGCCGGAAAAACGCGAATCCTCCTCTCTATTTTATTCCCTTCCGCAATATCTATAAACCATGAAGAGATCACGTAGATTCTATCGAGTTTCGACTGTTGAAAGATTCAAGAGGCAACTCGATCGTGTCTTCCTAAAATAATTCTTCCTGCTTTTTCCAACATTCGTGGTGTCCTTACGTTTTTAAATTTTTCTAAACTTTCCGTCAACACACAAGTTCATTATCATCCCTGTCTTAACTATTCCTTTCATCTAATATATTCGAGGCACTTAGCTTCCCTGCCGACAGGAGGCATTAACCGCGTTTGAAGAACGAAACAGCCTTTCAGCATCCGAGCGGAAGCTCATTTTCGATCGCTGCATTCGCACGCAATCGCGCGTGCCTGGCAGGCCGCGCTTTCTTCGAGATCACTCCGCGATTCTCCGCCTTTCTTTCACGCAGCTCGACACGCGCATTAATAATGCGCATTTTCATAGCAGGCAGGTATGATTAAGTTCGTGCCTGCAGCAGGATCATTCGGAGACGTCAGTCCCTCGCCCCCCGTTAATTACGTTGACGTCTCACTTGACTGGACAGAAACGCCTCTCTCGGCAAACTCAATTTCAATGCACTTCTTCACGGATCCAGCGATTCCGGTTGTTTCTCCCGCTTTTTCTTCTTTCACTTTTAAGTCTCTTCTCGCAACCGGCAACCTCGCAACGAAAGCCGAACTGACTTTTCCGCGTCGGGGGAACGACACGTGC